TTAAAGCGAAACACCAATCATGTGAACACGAATGAAATATTTTTATTTGATTTGAACTCAACCGAAGAATTTAAATGAAATGTGAAACAATACAGATGAAAGCAATATTATACGACTGAAAACACGCAATTTGAAGTTCGTATGAGGATACTTTTAGGTACAGTTTGAACTTTATTATCAAGTTGTTAATATTGGAGTGACCAACTTTAAATTCAATTAGATATTACGCATTTTTTGATCAGATTTCTTACAAAATTCCTGTACGTAAGGATCGACATTAACTTACAGTAGACAATTTGTTAGTCGAGAAGGTATTCAGAAGCAATGTACAAAACTTCTGGAACCAGTTGTCGAGTTGCCTTCTCAATTGACCGAAAGCTGATGCAAAGCTTGACTGCAGACCAGACCGAGTCTCTCCAACCAATCCGTACCCTCTTTACAAACGATCAAATCCAGCTTCTCTTTGAGCGCGATGAAGGCACGTTTAAATTCCAGGCCGTCGCCACGCGAACGACGGAAATCAACCATTACCTTTAAACAGTGCAAATTTCAGATGGAAAATTCCATTCACTATCACCGTTAACTTCTGTAACATTGTGTGCTTCTATCAATTTAGACTAGCGATGGTATTCGAATATAACTTCAATCTGGTCTGAATTCGACCGAATCAATTCTTCAGGATTCCGATCAAATTTCAAAATTCCTCGGCCGGAATGCGAATCTCGGAATCCCAATTTAAATTCGTCAAATTTTACCGACCAAACTTCGGTCGTTTGCCATCACTACTTCATACATTCCACTTTGCAAAGATGGCTTTTAATAAGCCCAATATATTGTATATTGTAACAGATATTCAAAATATTCAATGAATCAATTGAAGGGAATTACAGCATAGATGATTGAACAAAGCGAAAGATTATATAAAAAAATAAGTGGGTGTTATATACGGATACCTTCTTTGTAGCATGACTTCCCATTTCGTAGATTGTTACCATGAAGCTCATTTCACGTCTGTCCGATACGGTCAACTGAAAGTAATCATGATTCGATTATTCCAATGTAAGAAATCTGATTGCATTTCCATGACATCAACCAAATGAAGCATCAAAACAAACCCAGTTATGTCCGCGTTTCTTAGCGTCGAAACCGCTCGCTTCGCACACTTCAATAATACGTTCCATCGCTTCGTCAATACCCACCGTTACACAGAATCGTGTCATACGTCTTACAAGTAATTGCAATGGACCCTGTAAGACAATAACACATTTCACACGAACACACCGCTCACTAGATATGCAAATACCATTCGTGGATGTAAAATGATACAACGCCAAGTTTGAAGATGATAGGAACAAACACGTACAATGCATTGCCTCTGAGTGTCGTCGATTTGTGAGTGATTCAGCAGAAGTGTTTCGATATTTTCTGGCTGTGAGAATGATGCGTTCGCTATTCTCTCATCGATTCCATTCCTTCAACAACATATACTTCATCAGTTG